TTTTCTGCCTCTTTCTGTTTCATGAAGACGACTGATAAAGTGCAGATACCCTATGCGCTCTTAGAAGTCCCTTCGTAAAAGACCTCCATCGGTGCATTGAATTTGATTGCACATCTGACGCTCATCCTGCAGGAATCTCGCCCTCAAGAAACTTGGTCCCTCTAGATGGAGTGAGCACTACTCTCAGTAGCCTTCATTATTTTGATCAGAACTAACTTCATCGCAGTCCCTTTCATCATGGCTGCCTGGGGAATCATAGTTGTCGCTGAAGGCTTCGTGAAGAGCTTTGGAGGGCTCATGACGTACGTCTCCTTCCTTAACGATTGCTTTGCTTGAGTCGCCAATTGTAAATACGCAGAGCCCGAGTGTTTCAGGGCATGGCAGAGGTGAGCAACCATGTTCTCTTCTTGTCTTGTCGACTAAAATGGCATGGCAGTCCGGCATCTTCCCAGGCCTGACGTTCTACCTCTGCGTCTGGTATCCGCGAACGGCCCATGCCCAAAGAATCAGTCTTCTATACTCGGCTGTAACGCTCGCCGGCGCATTCGGTGGGTTGCTCGCATTCGCTATCGTTAAGATGGACGGGTAAGGACGCCCACCCCTGCTCGTCATTGCATCGGCTCACGTCTGTTCAAGGATCGGAGGTCTGAATGGGTGGTCTTGGATCGTGAGTGTCAAGTCCGATGACCGAGAAGGATGACCTGACAGGACTATGGCAGTTCATACTCGAAGGATTAGGTATGTCACATCATTCATCTGGTACAGACACAGCGAGACAGATCTGCCACGATAGTGACCTTCGTCGTCGCCATCTTCGCATAGTTCTACATGTCCGATGTGAGTAGTATACACATTCTGCACACTGTCACACACGGGAGCTGCGCACGCATAGTATCCGGAGAATGCATCGTTCCTCACGAAGCTTGAGAGGGAGTGGTTGGTCGAGACCATCAAGCAGGACAGCACAGGACTCTCGAAAGAGTTCAAGCGTAAGTTCGTCTTCCAGGCTCTTCGCGACCCGCATGTATGGATGCTCTTTGGCATCCACTTCTGGTATGCTCCAGCATAGCGTTGTGAATCTTGCTACGGTGTCCTAACAGTCGCGCATCGGAATTGTGTCGTTCAGCCTCATCATCCCTGCCTACGCCTTCTCCCTCTTCCTGCCCACCATGATTACCGGTTTGGGTTTCTCTTCCTCAAAAGCCCAACTCCTCTCCGTGCCGCCAAATGCCGCAGGCTGTCTCACTACCGTTGTAGGGGGTGTACTATCTGACCGCTTCCGTGCGCGTGGCCCGTTCATTCTCGTCGGGTCGCTCACGGCGCTTGCGGGCTATTGCATCCTCTTCACAACTGCGGATTCGTGGACCGGATATGTTGGAACGATACTCGCAGTCTGTGGCCTATTTCCGAGCATAGCGTGCGTTCTTGCTTGGGCGGGTGGGAACTCGGGTGGGGAGGTAAAGAGGGTGGTCGCTATTGCGATCGTTATCGGGTGTGGGAATCTCGGGCCGTAAGTCCGTTTTTCTACTCAGGCTCGAGCTTAGAGCGGTGTGCTGAGCCGAGCTCGTAGGATCGTCTCGTCG